TACAGAAAACATTTCTTGCATAAGTTTAGATATCTGAAATAAACACGTAAGTAGCGTTTCATTTTTCTAAGTAGCAAAAGAAAGAAGTTGCCACCCTAACATATGCTTCTTTGGGGTATTATTTTAGGCTGATTAGTTAATAAACAGCAGACCTGGAAGCAGCTCTGAAAACCAAGTAGAAGTGGCCAGTTGCAGAGGGCACTTACACCCGCACTTCTGAGGTGTTCCCTCATTGTACCTGGCCTGTCACCATCAACAGAAAAAGCAGACTTAAATCGCACAACCTGGCCTTTGTTCACGCACTTTTCCTGGTAACCTCCCACTGGTGACTCTCCACCCCCCACCTCTACCTGAAGGATGTATTTAAGGTGACAGCTGCCACCATTTTGGTGAATCATTCTGTTTTCATGAGTCTGTCCCATGTATACGGGAGGTGTGCATATTAAAATTCAACTTTTCTCTTGCTAATCTGTCATGTGTTAATTTGATTATTAGTACAGCCAGAAGAATTTGAAGAGTAGAGATTTTTCCTTCCCGACAGTGGTAGAAATATTTATTACTGTTATTTGCAAAGAAAGCATAACAGGTTATAATCACATGTGTACTCATGCAGCCACTATGGAAAATGGTTAAGCTCTTTAACGCAGAGGGAAAAAAGCTTTTGGATTTGAGAAAACACAATTTAGGTTAAAATCTTAAAAACTAAGTGACATTAAAGAATGAAATAGTTGTTAATTAACGAGTAAATTCATAAAAAGTGATTCAAACCTTAAGCATTTACTTGGAAACAAACACATATTTTAATTCACCAATTATTTGAGATAGGACCAAGACCTTTTCTTTGAATAGAAATCTCTTCGAGTGGCCCATGTCTTTCTTCTATAAACCACACCTCCCTTTTAATGCATAGTCTGAAATCCCAGAGAACTGAAAATACACTTGTAAACTGTGTCACTGTCTCATTTTTATGATTTTCCTGCCATTTTTAGTTTTACGTTTTATACCTAATTAGAAAACGAACCTTGACAGGTATTTCCAAAGCAAATAAATTTTCGAGGAAACAACTGTCCCATTTTATCAGTTTACATATTTAAATCTCTAAGAGGAACAAGTACAACTGGAATAAGTGAGTTTAGAAAGCACAGGTGAGTCCTGTGCAAACTCAAAAACAGCTGTGAGACGCAGGACTACTTGTGCTCTCAGCACCGAGCACTTTACAAAGGAAGCCCAGTCAATCCAGCGAGCCAAAGCAGAAACGGTAAGCTTAGTATAGCGGGAGACTACAGCGTTGATGTTAATATGCAACAGTATCACATTGACACTTTATTTGTAAACTTGTCATTTCAAGATATAATCTTCCTTTTGGATATATACTAGAAGAGTTAGAACAGCCATCTTAGTTTATGTCAAATATCTTTTCTCTAAAGTTGCAGAGTATCACCGATGACACATGGAGGTACACATCCACATAAGTTTCCATTCTGAACTGTTACTAAATATTCATAATGGAGCTCTTACACTTTACTAATATACTTAAAGCAAATTACTACCAACGGGCATTTGTAACAAGAAAAAAATTTCTTCTTGAGCTAATTTTTATCTTTGGCTTCTCTTCCACTGCTGACAGGTTTTCTTGCCATCTCCTGTTCGCTCTTCTTTCGGTCTAATTTGCCTTTGGTTCTGCCACCTGCTCTGCTCTAGCAGGATAAATGAACTCTACGTTGTAATATTTTACTGAACAAAAGCATGGCTGACAGTCACTGAAAATCCTGGAAACTGAAAGTCAAAAAAACAAAGATAAATAATAATCTAAGATTTATTCAGGCAGTGACTGGCCTTTGGATCTCAATGATACGAACTGAAAATAATCAACATTCTGTAACCTTTAATATTGATCAAAGCTGTAAATATCACCCTAAGAAATCTTCAGTGGCAATCAATAAATTCGAAATTCTCCTTAAGAAACAAGACAGTTAACATTTGATGACAGCTAACATTGGAGGGCTTGCTTGCCTCAGGCCCAGGGTTGTGCTAAGCACTTTATATTATTAATTCACTTAATCTTTCTGAAATAGGTTCTATTGTAATGCCCTCACTTTTTTTTAATCCGAAATCTAGCTATTGGACTCCAAAATCTATGCTCTTGCCCTGGATGGGTGGCTTGTAATTTGTTAGGACATTCCCCAAGGTTGTGAGTTCAATTCCCAGTCAGGCCACATACAAGAATCAACCAATGAATGCACAAATACATGGAACACATCGATATTTCTCTCTCCCTATTCCCCCAAATAAATACATTTTTAAAAAACCTCTATGCTTTTGGCCAGAATAGTATGCAGCAGCCTAATGAGTACTTCAAAAGCAATTCATCTTTAAAAAATGCTATTTAAATCACCTTTTCTTTATGAAGGAATGTACCACTCTAACCATATTACTGCTTAACTCAGAATTTTCAACCCAGCCACGTTTAAATGACTACACTCTTAACCTCTACACATTAAGAGCAAGATAATTTGACATAATCTGAATCTTCTCTTTAATACATTCTTAATCCTTTATTAAAGTTATCGCCCCACCATGCACATGATTAGAATTCAGGGAGTAGGTATGAGTATCCATTAAATTCTTCCAATATACAACTGTTCTGTTGAAAAATAAGGAAGGGGAGAGGGTGGGGGTTCTAAAAAGACATAAAAGGAAAATAAATGTATTCATACATAAGCCTGTTGAGATGAAGCTAAGTAGTAATGAAACAGATTCCCATATTGCCCTTTAAAAACACGATAAATGGGAGCATAATTATCCACTCAAAGGGTGACTGTGACTTCCCTCCAAAGAATACAGAATATGAAGAGGAGGAGGGGGAAGAAAGCTGGAATGGAGAAAAAGACACTATCTCAGCCAGGTGATCAAGGTCAGGATCAACAGGCACATGGAGGTGGTATGTAACCTTGAAAATGATGTGATGGAGATGGCACTTTACTTACGTGGTCTTCCTCCCCCAAACTCATAACCGCAGTCTAATAAGGAAAACACAAGACAAATTCCAAAGGAGGGGCATTCTCTAAGATACCTAAATCCTATTCCTCAATACTGTCAAGGTCATCAAAAACAAGTCTGAGAAATCATTACAGCCAAGGAGAACACAAGGAGGCACAGCAACTAAAGGGAGTGAGACACCCTTGCTGGCATCCTGGACCAGAAAAAGAACATTAGGTAAACACTTTAGAAAGTGGTGAGAATGTATCCATAGCAGTGCATTAATTGTAACAAATGCATCTATCACTGATGTAAAACACAAGTAACAGGAAGCTGGGTCACTGTAGGAAACTGTACTGTCTCTCCACTTCTTCCATAGACCTGTTCTAAAAAAATAAAGGCCATTTAAAAAAAAGTATAATTTAAAATGGCAAAATAGAAAAAAGCTTGGATTTCTTTAGCACACATTCTCTTGCTTTTTACCAACACTGCAGAAAAGATGGGGATTTTGTACACCAGATTTCAAAATTAAGGGAAATAAGTAGTGGTCGTATTTTATCAGACTCAATGAATAAAATACAATTTGAAGTATTCATTACCTACATTCTGAAAAATAAACAAAGGATATTACAAGTTATGCAAATATTACATTTACAAAATACAAAAATGTCATAGCCTTTCAAAACTGCAAAGAACCTGAGATGCATTCGATGCCAATCTTCTAGAATTTACTGAGCACTAACTACAAATGATTTGTTCAGCATCATTCTACCAGTTAGAAGTAAATGAAAGTCTGGTCTTTCTACTCCCAATCCTAAGATACCCCCTCACACAGTAATTCCATTGTGGTTACTGTTCTATCAGAAATATCCAATGTTTTAAAATGGTACACGAATATATGTCTGTGTATCCTACCTACCGTGTGTCTTTGTTCAGTGGAGCAGCTGCAAGGGATGGGGGACCCTACAGTGACACCAACTCTGCACCCGTTTTCCTTACATACTAAGCTTTACAGAAACAATTCATATTTACATGTAGTCCCAATGTTGCACAGGTAACAAATTATACATCAGACTCTGACTTTAGTGCACTAGTTATAAACTCTAGTTAAACCGCCACTCCTCTGTATCTCTCGCCTGTGATCTATAGGCAAGCTCTGCTTCCCACTATTGACCAAGAGGACTGAGGAAAGCATACATACACATGGAGGTTATGCAATGGCAAGTACTGTGATTTGAAAGCAAATCTTAAATTGGTCAGTTAAATTCTGACTGCAGGAATATTTTAGTTCCTGGACTAGAATTGCTAACTAAAGGCAGTATCCCTGATCAAGATAAAGCCAAGTCAGTAAGAAGCGGGGTCCCAACTAGAAATGGAAGTGTGCTGATGAGAGGCAAACCCTCTCATGATGTGACTAGTAACACGGAGGCTTCTGATAATGTGCAGTGTGGGACACTGGGGTGACTCTGTGAAACTCTGCTTCAGTCACAGGTCAACAGTGTTGCATGCACCTGGCAGGTTTTGACATCAGGAAACTATCATTTCTGGTTTTCCTCCCATCTGAACGAGTACCTTAGAGAACCCAGAAATAATCGGTGTACCATCCAGAGTCACCACGATCCTATTCACTAAGTTCTACCCCAGAGGACAATGTCCAGACTGCCAGAAAAGCATTGGTCCTTAGCACCAAGAACAGGGTGTCGGGGTTATTAGACAGCTGGTGGCACCACACCCTCCTGTTACCTGAAAATACACGGGCCTCTTTCTCTTTGGCTCTAAGTTTAGTATTAAGAGGATGTAATCCAATAAAATCACTTAAATGGATGAAGATTAGGATAAACTCTTATCCTCCCTTTCTTTAACTTCCCCACTCAATTTAAATGGCCAACTAAAACAAGTGACAGAATCTGTCTGTGCCTGAAAGACATGTCAGTCAAAAAATCCAGAAGAAGGTCGACCTTTATGCTGTGTTTCTAGCCAATAAACATATTTAGAAAGATAAAATGGAAAGAACACAGATATGAGTGAACAATTTTTATTGAAACCCTCAAAGATTAAAGAGGACCAAATGGTGAGTTTGGGTACCATAACAGAAAATCTCACCCAACTGTACCATCATTCACAGGAATGAACAAACCCAAACACGACAAAATTCAAATTCTCATGTAATTGCTACAAGTGAATGTAAATTAACTAATCATTTTATCATACCCTTTCTGTAATCACATGAAAAAGAAGGGAATTTACATGGCATAACAAAAGATATGCAAAACTTAATGGAAACACAATTCTCAATTTTCTCAAACTTACTTTTACAGGATGCACTTGAAATGATTAAATGACTTAAGCTGATTTTTTTTATTGCAAACTGTTTTAACATCAGCTTAACCTCCATGCATGGTATTCAAAAAGAACACAGCCTTTGAATTAGAAAGATCACTTAAGTTAAAATAAGGAATTAAGTATTGAAATGAGGAAAAGGCTGGGGTTTCTTTTGAAAGGAATCTTCAAGTACCAGTAAGTATAGAGAAAGAATACTAATTTTGGTTACATTTTTACCCTTACTGTTAAATATACAAACTATTATACCTTTCAAAATAAAATACCCACATAAGATAACTTTAATAAGAAACATTCAAACCAGATCTTGAAAAAACATTAAGCAAAAAATTTACTGGGCCAATCAGTCATGTCTTAATTTGTGATTATTCAAACATTTGATTAAGTGTTTCCTGCTGGAGAGCCCAGGTTCTCCCCCTTTTGGTTCCTACAGTTAAGAAACATTCAGTTAGTTGTGCTATTGAGACAACCTGTGATAATTTCACTTAGAGGAAAAAATATTTGCAACATACGTATTGACAGACCAAGGAGGAAGAGAAAGTAGGTGCTCTGAAAAAATCGTAAATGAAAAAAAACCCTACTGATTGTAAAGTTTTTATTTCCAAAGGAATGCTGCACCCATTTCACTTAATATTAGAAATCCAGGTAAAAGGCACTGGGATGTACTCCTCACAATGAACAGACTACTCGATTACACTTGACCTTTCTGAGTCTGCTGTGACGACTGGTCTGCCTGCCGAGTGCTGCTGTGACACTTTTCACAGAGAAACCAAAGGTAAATCAAACAAGTTTCAATCCATTTAAAATGTAACTAGTTTTATAAAAATATTCAGAGTTGCTAATAAAGCACCAAGAAAAAGAGAACCTCAGAGCCAGGACTCAGAGCCTTTCTGTGAGGTCACCCCTTGCAGTTTTCTCTAATAGGACCTCCAGAGTGACAACAGTCACCTTTGACACGTCCTACCTATATAATCTCAGGGCTGTAGAACGTTGCTGTGGTTACTATACCCAAATGCCAATTTTTATTATAAATAGTTAAGAGACATGTTACAAGATAAGATTTCATGGCTTACTCTTAAAAAGGTAAAATAGGTGCAACTTTCCTTTAAGAAAGTCTTTATTTTGTAATATACCTTTAATATTTTAATGTTCCCTTCAGTAAACACTGATGTAACTACAATGGAACTACCAAAGACCTGTGAAGTAGCTACGATTATCTACAAATACTGCATTTTATTTCACTTGAATACAGTATTTGTATATTTTAAGAAAATATTGTACAAAAAATTATATAAATGAAAGCCTCAAAGAAATACGTCACTAAATTTTTGAACCGATGTGATCAAAGATGTCAGTGAAAAGGTTTCTAACATGATGTAAACATAAATGGAGTAATGCAAAACACCACAGCATTCAAATCTACTGTATTGCTATTTTCACCCTTCTCATATCTTTCATCACAGCTTTCTCCTTTTGGAATAACATAAGGGACAGTACATGATCTTCACAACTGTATGCCATCAAATCGTTTAATACAGATGCTTGACACATTTAATTCATACAAAATCAATTTGCTTCAAGATACAAAATTAATGTTGATATGTAATTAATGAGAAAAATAAGATGTTAAAAAGATAACTATAAGAATACCCAGATATATGCTGTATTCCCATTTATATAGATCTGATCAGTAAAACATCAACACATTCACTTAGATACTGATTTAATCCATGAATCAAGGCCATATTTCCAAAGTATTTTAAGAATGCCAGGACACTGCAAAAGCTGGAGAAAATAGCTGAGGAACAGTATATGCTTGCTAAACAAGAACTATGTTTATTTAGCTAGTGAATACCTAGAGTAATAAATTTTTACTTCATGATAGCAATCAGGCTCGCAAACACCCAGAAACAGGAATTAAGGGTTTTACATGTAGTTATAAAGGTCATAAAAAGTCTGATTAGACTGAGGTACATTTACTCAAAATTTTGAGATTCATTAAGTGGTAGCAAACAAAATAATTCCTCAGACAAATGCACATTTTTCAGTATACATATTATTGGGGCAAGGGAGAAGAATGTGCATTAACTGGTGAAATCCACCAAGCTGCATATCAACATTCTGTTACACCAAACGGTTTAAAGACAAGGGTAATGTTCTAATATAATCTCGGATTATGTCTCATTTGGCTAAAATAGAGCTTAAGGTTGCTTTGCCATATTAAAAGTTTACTACAATAATTCTTCACATAAACATTTAGACTTGAACTCCAGGACTAAATATGGCATGATTATTTTGCTTTTAATCTGTCAAATAGCTAAAAATCGACAATTTAAAAACTACAACAAAGAAAAGTTGAAGCAGTGTGACTCTTACATCATTGAACCACTTCTAATGGTTAACTGTTAGTATTTAACAAATTCAAAGAGTTAATGAATCCTTGCATTCATTCAGTCTTCTGTGCCTTAGCTAGGATGCATAATTACAAAAGACAGCAGATACTGGTAAAAGCTTCAGGACAAAAAGTGCTTGACGAAGTTACAGTTCTCAAGTGTGTTTGGTGAGAGTATAAGGGCAGATGCGCTGATGAAAACCATTACAAGAGTCAATTCTGTGTTAAAGAGTCCAGAGATGTCACCTTAAGCAGAAAAAAGCTTTAATAACGTCTTCTTTGACTTATTAGGCATTTCCAGAGTCTACATCATTAGTGTTGTAATTCTAACAGGACATCTTCATATGGTTATTGTTTGTTTCTATTTCTCTCCTGAAAGAAAAAAAAATAATTTAACAAAATACCATCACTATATAAAGATTTAAATTATATTCACATATAATGTAAACCATCTCCATAAAAATTTCTTCAAATACTAATTCAAGTAATTAGTTAAAATTGATTTACTATTACCTATACACGCCATAGCAGGAAGATTACCACAAAACATTTTCAAAATAAAAAACTCCAAACTCTTATCTTGTGGACAGTAAAGGCCCTCTACATAACCCTATTTGCACACAGCATTTTGGTTAAGGTGAGATCACAATAATATCTTTTTAGCCTTTCAAAGACTTTCTGATAGTAAGGTATCGAAGAGACTAAAAGGAAGCTCTGTAGCAATTTCAAAACTATTGGCTCAGGTAGGTTAGGACAAAAGGGTAACTGTCAGTGTTAATAAAAAAAATACTTTGAATCATAAACTTCCTCTGATTTATCATATTCTCACATTCAGCATAACTTTCCATATCAAGAAACATTACAATTCCTTCTAAGAAAGTAGAAACACATTGAACAAAAGTTGAACTAAGTGATGTTTTCCAGTTTATTAACCAAATACGTTTACAGTAGCTACAAAACTTTTTAATTGAATGCATCCTATGGTTTGTTTGTACCATCTTGTTTTAGTGTGTAATTCAGTGGTCTCAAACTTTCCTAACATTCAGATTCACCTGGACAGCTTGTGGAAACAGTACTGGGCCCCCAAATCTGAAGCTGAGCCTGTGAGTTCGCAGTTCCAACGAGTTCAGAGGTGATCCTAATACTGCTGGTCCAAGAACCACACTCTAAAAACCACTTGTGTTTAACACAGTATGAGACTCTTTGTTTTCACTACTCCCATTTTATTTTTCATGTTCCATAATAAATAAGAATATACTTTAAAAATGGTCAAATTAGTTTCCTGTACTGAGACACCATCAGAAAATTAAGTTAGGACTTTAAGTTACTAAATTCCTTTCTTTTTTCATTTTAATATTATCCTAGAACGTGAGTAGCAGTATTTAATATAGAAAGCTAATAACTAAATGCCTGATTACGTAGCTACAAATAATATTATTTCATAGACACATAGTATCAGTGACATATTCTGAAACTAAATAAAACAACAAAAAGACAGAGCTGGCAATTAATGATGTTTCAAAAGGATAAGCAAAACCAAAAATCCAACAACATAAAGGAAAACAACAAAAAAACTTGGTACCAAGAAACTTAATCTAACTTTACAAAGGCTCTAAAACCTTAAAGAAAATGGCCTAACATAGAGTTTAGTTCTCAGAAGAAGAAAACAGATTTGTACGAGAAATTCCAAAGCCTGCTTTGAATAGCTAGATAAAAACCAGAATTACAGATGAAGCAAGAGGATGGCACAGAACACTGCTCATACTCCCCAAACAATGACTGATGGGCACCAGAGAAATTCATTAACTCCATGAAAAGGCCCAAAATCACAGAAACAAAGGCAACACTATTTAAGGATAAGTTAGACAAAAATAGAGGTTTAATTCCAGGGAGAAGATCATTTATAAAAATGAGGGTTATGTCTACTTAAATAAAAGAGATGCTGTTTCAGTTTGAACTATAATCAACTACATCAGTAAAATATACAGATTATAAAATACTGAAGACATCTATATGTGTAACACATAACCTCTAACTCAGTGAACAAAAAAAAAGATGAAAATGCAAAGAAACCTCTAACAAGACAGAAAAAGTTGGGGGGACGAGTGAGTCTGAAAGACCTACACTAATTTAGAAAGCACAAAATAAGATGGCAAAAATATACATTTACACCAAGCAGTCAAAAAATGTAGAATCATCAATGAAAACACAAAACAGCTCAGATTAAAAAAAAACCCTCTAAATCCAGTTACACATAATTTACAAGAAACTTAAAATATAAGAACACAGAAAAGTTAACAATAATAAAAGCAAACCAAAGACTGACACCACTGTATTACTGTAACACAAATGGATGTCAAGGTGAAAACTACTGCCGGAGATAAAATCACCACCACATACTGAGAGGAAGAGACATGTTTTTAAAACATAGAACAGTACTTAACTAAAATTACAACTTTACATATATCAAAAGTTGTCAGAATTACAAAGAAAACCTGAGTTTTCTAATTATAACAAGAGAATTTAATTTCACACATTTCTTAGTATTCAGTAGAGCAGACGGGTTAGTAAAAATACAGGTTAAATATACAGAATACAGGAAACAGCTAAGAATGACAGCACACACTGAACCACCAGAGAAAGAGACTATACACCAAAGACTCGGCATCATATATATCACATTTCTGACATAAATCTTAGAAGCAAAACAGATAATCCCAACCAAAAAACCTTACCCACATGTGGAAATTCTAAAACACACTAATAGTATGCTCCAAAAATCTTAAGAGAAATCTGAAACATTCTTACATCAGTACAATAATAAAAATGTTACATCTAAGTCCCTCCAATGCAACTTAAACATCTATACCTGTAGAATTTTTTAAAAAGCTGGAAAGCACTGAGCTCATCACCCATTTCAACATTAGAAAATGTGTAACAGTAAGTCCCCCTAAAATAGGAGGAATGAAAGAAGACGGCAGCAGAAAAACACAAAACAAAAAATGGAAAGAGAACCAAGGGACTAAAATTGAGAGCTGGAGTAGGAGAAAAAACCCAACAGTAGAAATAAATCTCTGGAAAAAATGAGTTAGAAAATTATGCATAAAAAACATCATGGAGACAGATACAGCTAAAAAATAAAAACCTAACTGCCCTGGCCAGTTGGCTCAGTTGGAGCATTGTCCTGTACACCAAAACGTAGTGGGTTTGACCCCTGGCCAGGCAACATACAGGAGGCAACTGATCTAATGTTTCTTTCTCTGTCTCTCTCAAATCAATTATCATATCCTTGGGTGAAAATTTAAAAAAAAAAAAAGAAAAGAAAAGTAAAGATGTAAAAATAAATAAAATTAAAATACTATTAATGCCAATATGCAGAAAAGTTTTAAACAAAATGGACTTCTTAAAAATACAATTTACCAAAAAAAAAATTAAAGAATAAGACTTATAACTAAAAAAGTTTAATCAACAATTATAAATCCACTCCAAACAAAAAGCCACCAGGGCTCATATAGTTTTACAGGTACATTTGATTAATTGTCCCAGAATTAATAATTAGGTAATTCTAAACTTACACCGGTTCCAAAAATTTTTTAAAAAGCAACTATTTCCTGATATATTTTGTTTGAGGTTAGCAATACTTTGATACTAACATTGTCAAGAAAAGCAGGAAAAAATAAAACAGTCCAGTCTCCCTCGTCACCAAGGACTTCTTACCAGCTGTTCTGTGGATAACAGAGTGTAGAAGAGCACAGTGGGGAGCGAGAAGGCCAGTAAGAAGGCTGGCACAGAAGTAGCAACGCTTACACTGGGGTGAAAATGCAGTTAGTGGAAGTGCATGGAACTGGGATACATTTTAACAGTGGAGTCAATGAAACTTATTGACAGACCGATTAAATATGGGTAAGAAAGAAAAGTATTAAGAACAAAGAGTGAGTCCAGTAGTCGTTCCCTAAACAACTGGAGGAACGATAGTACCCTCTATATGATAGCAACAGTTTGGGGTAGGCAAAGAAATGAGTTCTATTAAATTTAAGATACTTATTAGACAACTCAGTGAAGTTATCCAGCAGGCAACTGGATACATGAATCTAGAGGTAAGAGGAAAAGTCCAAGATGAATATATAAATTTGATAGTCTTTAAGTATAAAAATGTCCATCAACAAACCTTAAGTACTCTGGAAGTCTGTGGTCAATATCATGGCTTTTTAAAAAATTTTTATCTTCACCCAAAGACATATTTCCATAGCTTTTTAAAGGGTAGAGAGGGAAACACTGGTGTGAGAGAAGGCAATTGGTTGGCTGCCTTCTGAATTGGGGATCGAACCGGAATCCTGGGTATGTGCCCCGACTGGAAATCAAACCCATGACCTTTCAGTCTACAGGACAACACTACAATCCACTGAACCACACCAGCCAGGGCAATACTGCTGCTTCGTAGCAGGTGTATTACACAGCCAACTTCATAATTACACCTCTTGCTGTGTTGCTGGTAACACAGGGAGAACGGAAAGCTGACCTACACAAAAGGAGCCATAGTCCTGTATACCTAGTGAAGGACTAAGCCTCTACTGATGATTCAGAATTGGCACTTCAAACAGGTACAGGTCTTTGTGATACAGTTTCCAAAGTACTTCAGAGACCTCAATGTTTCTTTTAATAATGATTGACAATGCAATAAAGCAATTTGCAGAAGGACCATTTTTCATTAACAGAGCTAGGCCTAACAAAGACAAATTGAGATTTAAGTGCTTTTGATGAGTCTCTGGCATAATGCTTCTTCCTCACCCTAAGCTGAGCACTGGCACTGGAGACCAACATACGACCCAGAAACTGAAACTGGCCTGTCGAAGTAAACTCCAGAAGGAAGTTCACTTGCCAACCAACGTGTTTATTTTCTCTCTCTCTCTCTCTTTTTTTTTTTGACAGAGCTTATTAACGGGTGAGCAAACAAGAGCCAGAAAACAACATTTTCCTCTGTGCCTTCAGAGGGGCCAACAGCTTGCCCTTAACATTACAAATAAAACAACACATTCCTTTAATCCACAGTAGGTTTATCACCATTAGCAAAATTGCAGTTTTCATTAACCAGGACCTGGTCACAAATGAGCCACCAGGGAAAAGGTTAACTTGTGTTTCTAAGAAAACAAACCACAAGAAAGAAGATGAGAATAAGCACTCAAAACAATACAATGGAACTGCTAAAGGAGGAAGTGAAAATTTGGGGAGAAAACAACAGATGAAGCAAAAGCAGGCACTTGAGATCTAAATGTCACAAAAACAAAGACCTTAGCTTCTTTAGAAGTTACAACTGACATGTAACATGTCAAATTATAAATTTTAGTAGATAAATTAAAGGGAACAATGGTCACTGCCTCATTTGGGAAGTAGAATATTAGGTGCAAGAATCATGCCAAATTACAGAGCAGGGAAAAAAAGATGGAAATCACACATACACAAAAATTAGAGAACTGAAGAATAGATCAAAGACAAAATGAATATTCTAGAAGTAGAAAAAAGAACAAATGGAAGTGTGAAATAAAAAATTCACAAATTCCTTGACACACCTCCCTGCATAAGGTAGGGCTTAATTTTCTTCCTCTGGAGTGTGGGCTGGACATACTGACTGACTGCTTCAAAGAACAGAGTACGCAAAGAGGAAAAAAGACACTTACTTCAGAGAATCCAAGCAAACACAAACTGAACGAAGTAATCAAAGTTAGTATCACCAGCAGTAAGTTATGTATGATCAGATGAGAAAGATGAGTAACTTATGTGGTATTCTTCCCAAAACCCCAGCACCTCAGTCTGCACAAGGAAAGACAGATTGTCATAGCTTTAAGAAGACATGACAACTAAATGCAAAACTGCTGTTCCAAACCTTGGAACATTTACATAACTTCGTAAGTTATATAAATGTCTAATCACTCTGTCCTACACCTAAAACTAATACATGTCAACTAAAAAACTGTCTAAGTCTGTAGTTTAAACATTACTGTGCCAAAGTTAATTTCTTAGTTTGGGTAAGTGTACTACAATTATGTAACATGCTAATATTAGGAAAAACTATAAATATAGGACATGCAGAAACTCACTACATTCTTTGCAATAAAATTATTTAATAAAGTTTTTAAAAATCCTAATAAAGTTAGAAAAATACAACTCCCAAATATCATATTGCTGCAGAAATATGGAATATGTACACGTTCTACATGTATATGTTCTACAGGGTATGGTTATTTCAATGGCTGCCCTGAGTCTTTTTATTGTTAATGATATGTGTTAAATTCTGCCCAAGTTCAAACCAGTGAAGTATCAGATTATATATTTAAAGTTTAAAAGAGAAAGGTGTGCATGTCTCAAATAGATTAAGTCTATAGATGAACAAGTGACAAAAGTTAAAACATACAATAAATTCAATTCTTCAGGAAAATTAATGACTTACCAGAACTGAAATCTGCATAGGCTGGCTGACAGGATTGGAAAAATTCGTGCTAGAGAACAGAACAAGGGCTGTATCGGATGGATAAAACCTCTAGCTGTTCAAAAGCTACATATCTGTCCAGAGCCATTGAAGTGCTATATAAAATGCTGAGACAAGCACAGCATGCACTGTCCCAACAACATGATGGATCCTTTCGCATCGAGAGCAAAAGACAAAAATTGTAAAGAAAACAGACCAATTCAGCACTACAAAATTTAAACCAAAAAATAATCAAGGGAACAGACAACAATTATGCTTTGGAGGTTGTTTTTGGAAGAAGTCAACTCTTTCCACTTTGAACTTAGGCTTCCGTTTAATTGAGTGTCCCATTCCTGATCCTCAGCATGCTTTGAAAGATTCTAGTTCTTAAATGTGCATTTATAAAATAAAGTATTATTTCAAGTTTGAGAAAACAGATGTAGTCAAGTAATATATACTATCAACTAAAGATCAAATAGCCTCCAAAGGAACTATAAAATGCAATAGTTGGAAAGACGTTCCAACAGTGAAGAACGCGCACAGTCACCGCACGTTAGTCTGAGTGCTCCAGATGAGTAAGAATATGCTTGCAAAGGCTTAGGACTAACTCATGTTTTGAGCTGTGACTTAGTTTCTGCAAAATAATACCACTTAACACACTAATTCTTTTTAATGTGTAGTCTTATTTTGGTTTTAGAGTTTACACCTAATTTCATATTTAAGTAACGCTATATTAAAAATAAAATTGCAAGAAAAAAGCACAAAGATCAAAAAGAAATCAATGGTCTCTACTTGCAGACACAATTGTTAGGTACAAAATCCTAGATGTTCTATTAGGACTACTAGATTTATTAAGCGAATTTATCAAAATCACACGACACAGGACATTTCCATAAACCAACTGGGAAGTAAAACTGAAAATCCAGTTACAGTAATAATCAAAATATACTTAGCAATAAATTCAGCAGGACACATGCTGGCCCTCAACACCACACACTACAAAAATGAGAGAAATGTTTGTCTCTCCACACAGACTGAGTTTAAAAAAGGAGGGAGGCTGTTTATCTTTAGTAACTTTTAATGTTTATCTGTTGAATGAATAAGGGAACCCTGTAAATGGCACTATAGGTTGACTAGACATGTGCTAAAATTCCCAAGGGAAAAAAAGAAAAAACTGACCTGGGACCTGGTATACACACACAGGCGTTTGGAGCCAAAGCAAAGGAATCCATATATAATTCTATTTTAAAGAAAGATTTCTGGAGTGTTTACAATAAAATTAAAATGGTAAAATGATTACATTCCAGATTATTGTTCACAAGTGAAACTGTCTACTAGTTGCTTTTTATATCCTAGTTCTTTTATTATACATCTGATAATCTTATGTTGTTTCAATATTGACTGTCAAAAGTGTAAGATACTCAAGTTAACACACCTGTCAAGTTTTCCGCCAAGAGACAATGAAGTCAGTTTCACTCATAAATTAGACTGTAATATATAAACACAGTTCAGTGAAGTTCTGAGAAGTGTGTCATGAGGTGAACTTCTCATGGTATATCAGAGTGCATTTATACAAACCTAGATGGTATAGCCCAGTGGTCCCCAATCTTTCACGAGCAGAAAGAAAGCAGAATTCAGGTGGGGACTGCCAAAAGGCAGAGCTCAGGTGAGTTTCCCTCCTGGCCCAGTTCCCAACAGACCACAGACTGGTACCATCCAGGGACCAAGGGTAGAGGAGCCCTGACATATAGCCTACTATACACCTAAGCTATGTGGTATATAACCTACTGCTCCTAGGCTACAAACCTGTTCAGCACATTACTGTATTGAACACTGCAGGCAATTATTACACAAGGGTGTATATTTGTATATCTAAACACAGAAAAGGTATTTGATATAAAAGGTAAAAGATGGTATACCTATGCAGGGCACTTACTATGAATGGAACTTGCTCTGGGCGAGTCAGTGAGTGAGCAGTAAGTGAACGTGAAGGTCTAGGGTATTACTATATACTACTGTGGACACTATAATAAGCACCTTCTCACAAGCCCTCCCCCTGCTTCCTCTGACAAAGCCAGAAATTAAAACACTGAGGCTGTCTACACTGCTCCATGAACAGGGGATATGGACTGGACTGATTAGCAATATCAAGAAATCAAGTAAAGCATACATCACCATAATTGTGACCATCAGGAGGAAGTGAAAGGTGGTCTAAGGATTAACAAGAAATCAAGATGCAGAGATAAAGGAACACAGGGGATTGCCATGGCAATGTGGTTCTGGGTACTGTATGCTAGAGGAATGGTCACATTAAGGAACAAGCTTTGTGGTATTCATAAAAAAGAGGGGAGGAGGTGTCTAACATGGAAAGGGCATAGAACTAAGAACTCAACAGCCTGACTTCGGAAATTTGTTTTTGGTTCCACTGACTGTGGCACAAAGGGGTTTCTCTAGAACTAAACTGATGTTAAAAATAAAATTTACCTATGCTTTACATCATTACAGTCTCAAAAGACTTCCCAAGACTGAGGACGAGCTGGCTCCACACTACAGGTAATGCAGGTGTGCTACTATGACCTCCTGACAGCACTGTATACGTGCAGTCCACTGCTGATCGAAACACATGCACATGACTGGCTAGGAAATTTCTAATTAAGAACTGTATGTCAAACTTCTAACAAACTATTAGTGGGGAAGATAATTCAATAATGTAAATTTCTTCCTGAAACAAAACTATTTCATATTACTTACAGTTAAATATATACGTATGTTCCTGGAGTGATCATGTATTGTCTGCTGAAGAAAAATAAATGAAATAATTGAAACACCATCAGTTTAATGACTGTTCATACCACTGTAGGTATGAAATATCTCCCAAAGATATATAATTAATCCAGTAAACTACTGGTAGTTCATTTACTAAAACCCTCACAAAACTCTTTATCAACACTGGAACATAAGGCAGGTACCATTAACTCTCCTATGGGGCAACAAAATTAATCTGAGAAAAGAAAAGAGAAACAACATTATAAAATGTTAATTGAAGCACCTCCTCTTTTCCCATACCTGGCTTATCAAAAATATTTACCAAGTTCAGAATACACTACCACTGCAATAAAAATGACATTATCTGGACTACTTAAAATATCACTCAATGTATTATCAAAGCTCACTTAAACATGTAATAAAAAAGTTAATGGTTTCAAGTGAGAGACATCCTGGACCAAAACCTATTTTCCAGAAAAACATTTTTCAAAGTTTACAATAAAGATCAAAGGAAAAGCAAGATTTATATACTGAATTTGTTTCTGTATGTCATAATCAATTCATTAACTGAGAACCACAACCATAGAGAAGTTTACCAAAGGGCAATCGAATAAAGACTTCCACCTAAGAACTACAAGGATTAGCAGGAAAGCATTACACTGCATTACACTGCATTTCTCAAGCATTACTTGAGAAAAAAGGAAGTACACATGGTCTCTAACAATGGTTTGAGTTATAATTTTTTGACTTTACAAAGATAAAAAAGCAATATGCATACTAAATTATACTAATATTTATTATTATAAAATAGGCTTTGCTTTAGATAATTCTGCCCAACTCTAGGCTAACATTAAGTGTTTGAGCACACTTAAGGTAGGCAGGCTATGATTTTGTGTAGGTTAGGTGTATTGAATGCATTTGCAACTTACAGTACTTTTAACTGGGATAAAACCCCACTGTAAGTCAAGGAACATCTGTACATACAGAACTGTTGCCACAGGTATAATTATTGTTGAAGTAATTTCTTATACATCAACTAAAACTTGGTAAGTTTGAGATAGACCTAATATCATCTCATCTCAGAATCAAAGTTATTACAATTATGAAAAAAATTCTATCAGGTGCCAAAATTTACTCTTTGGAAATACCCAACAACACAAAATCACATATATGACCAATATACCTAGAATACTCTAGAATTAAAACTAATAGAGATGTTATTGTAATTATGCCTCTTCCTCTCTTTCTGACAAAACAGGTATAGGTAAATGCCGTATTTTAGAAGTTCATCTCAAAATTACAGGCAACTGGAAACTTTATTCCTATATAAAATTAAAAGAGCTAAAAATTTCACCTCAGATTCTGTTTTCTGATTAATAAGAATTCATGAAAATCAAATAATATAGTAGGATCTAAATGACTCATTCAGTACAACAGAAAGTGCAATTTCAGAGAAATGATAATTAGTCAAAAGTAGAATCTAATGCTATCTCAATGACTTAAATTTACAATGGACAAATATACCCAGCACATTATCAGTTCTTTGTTTTTCCTTCATTTTCCAATTACACCAGCTTTATCATCAGACACAATACAACATAAACATCAAGTTGAGGTTAAAAAAAGCCCCCCCACCCCCCACCAGCCCTTTCTACTTTAAGTTCCTGTGACGAGTTGCCACTGACTTTAAGTCATACTAACACATAAATTTCTTGATTTAACAATTCAGACACTATCAATTCCCACTGTAGATATGAGCAATTTATCAGCTGAATGTTTTATTCTCCTCTTCCTCCTCTCTACATTAGAAGCCATACTTAGTTGTAATGACTGTGCTTATGACTTTAATTAATATGCTTAAGGCACAACTGCTTCTATCTAAAGAGATACATCTCTATAAACAATTACCTGTTACCTTCAGAACGATGAGAAAGTTAGTGCATTAATTTACCATTCCTCACATCTTTCCTTCCTGCTCTCATAACATTTTATCTACCTGTAATTAAATCTCTATTGTCCATTTCTACCAATGGAAACACCATTTATTTAACTTGAATGATCAAGTACACAGTTGCTAAATAAAGTACAGTAACTAAACCAATAAAGGAAAATTCTATGACATTCAAACTTCCCCCTAAAAAACATTTTTCTAAGCTTTTACTCATTTAACAAATGTTTATGAAACACCTATTATGTGCCGAGCATTAGGTTCTAGGGCTTCACCAGAAAAAAAAAAAAGCAAGTCTTGCTCTCATAGAGATAGCTTATGGTCCAATGAGAAGATTAGACATTTTTCTTTTAAGCTTCCTTCACATCTCCAAGATCAGTGGTTCCCAAGTGGGAAGCTCATTTCATGTCAAGCTTCAAAGACCACAGTGCCTTTTAACAGAAAGAACGGAGATGCTTACGGTATTGATACACGCTACATTCACAAGAAAGACCGTCTGATGCAAAATGCACACCTGGTGTCGCCATTGAGAAATTTGTTTGTTCTAGTATAATCAGCTACCAGGTCTTATCTTTCCTGAATTTCTTTTTCACTCTGTTGAAATAGCTCAAGTAACTTTCTCATAAAAGGCCTCTGGCTAAGCTCTTATACATCTGAAATTTTTATTTTGCACTGCCCTCAATCACAGAATTTGACACTCATCTTTAACAATGTAATGTACTCCCCCTCCCCTCTGCTCCAAAAGAGATTTTACATGTGAGTATCCAGAGTTGTAGATGTGAATTCATTCCCATGATAGTCTGATTCTTTCTTTCTATTGCTCCACATTTTTAAATTTCATTGGTTCAAAATTCTGGATCATCAACCAGATCTAAAACATGAACATCTTTATTAATCTGCTTGCTCACTGCTTTTTTATTTTGAGAATCACAGTTCTCACTTCCAAGAATATTTTCTAGCTTTCTTTTCCTTTTCTCCCTAGGAAAAGGGAGAAGCTTTCTCTTTTCCTTTTACATATGAATTCTCCCTAAAATCAAATCAAATTCTGTTCTGTACTTTAAATTAACTTCTGCTCTCTAAATTAAGTATTTTAGTGGGTTTATCATGGTTGTTCTTTCAACAAGCTTGATAAGCTCTTTTATCAAACATATCAAAACTATGTGTTCAAATCTAAATGTGAAGAGCCACTCAAATACTACAAAAACAGATATGGAAGTTTCACCTGTTCCCTTCACTACAAAACAGCCCGACTTTGTAAGTTTTATATAACAAGACAGGATATGTCTGGTGGGCTCCCCCACAGGGTGCTTTCCTGGCAAGGCAAGCTGGGGAATTCCTTTATTGCCCAAGTAACCAGAACAAAAAAGAAAAGGAAAAGTCAATAGAAGACTCAGCAATGACAAGACAGAATTAGCTTTTTAACATCCTCATCTATCACAAGTAAGCTCAAGAATTTATAAAGAAAAACATGAACACAGTAAAAAAAAAAAAAGTGAGAAAACTACAGTTAACCTTAATGTAAAATGCTAAAGTACAAAACTTCTAAAAAAACACATAGGAAATAAATCTCCCCAAATTTGAGGAAGGCAATTATTTGAAGTCAGATTAGTATAAGCCTTCTAAAACTGTTATTATTCAAAACTGTTTTAGCTATTCTAGGTCCTACACCTGATCTTAGCTTGGAACCAAAACAAACAAACAAACAATGAAAAAAACAGCTTACAGGACATTGTGGATCAGCTAACAGAACATATACACTATACTTTTGGGGGGTAAAGAGCCATGATGTATAAAATTCTCACACTGTTAAAAAAATAATCATAAAGCAAACAAGGAAGAATGTAAACAAGTGAACCCGGATAAGAGGCACACTAGTATTTTACATACTATCTTTATTCTTAAAAATAAATTATAAATTATATCCAGATAAAAAGATTAAAAACAGAGATTCACTCACACTGCTGCATGTCACTATAGTTCAATCATTCTACCATACTACTATAATGTGTTTTGACCACTTTCCTGCTGACAAAGACACTTTGGTTGTTCCTTTTTTTAAAAAACCATTATTGCCTGTGCTTTTAAGAACATTCTTGTTTGTTTGTCTTCTAGGGTACATGGAAAGTTTTTCTTAGTTATCTATCCTAAAGGAAAACTGCTGAATTACAGCATATATGAAACATCCAGCTTCATAAGAATACACAAAAATGCTTCCACACATGGCTTTGTTAATTCAACATTCCCATCTGCTATCTTATAAACAACTGTGTTAATCTGAAGTCTTCCAATACTACTTGATACTAACAAATTTCTTAATGTTGCCAAATAAATGAATATAAAATATTTTTTCATTAGAGTCTTGACTTCCATTTTTCTAATTATTATTAAGACTGAGTATCTTTTTATATACACGTATCGGCCATTTTTGTTTCTTCTCATGAAATGACTAGCCATGTATCTCTTGGCCCACTTTTCAACTAGATTATCTTTATCTTAAACTGACTTATAGAAGTTCTTCATTCTTTTTATTCTTGAACCAATCTTTGGTCACTTGTGTTTGAATTTTTCCCAGTTCCTAATGTCTTTAAAGAATCTTTTGATGAACAGATTTTGATGTAGTTAAATTTGATCAATCTATTCTTCTATGATTAGTGTTGTTTTATGCCTTGTTTAGGAAACCTTCTTTACCCAAGATCTGAAGAACATGCATCTGAGAGAATGTAATCTTCACATACCGGAAGCTTTAAGGAATTTCAGCTGCAATTAAGACCAAAGGGGTCATGTTAAAAGAGAAGGCTAAAAAATAACTTTTTATTTAAAAAATTAAAAAGCATAACAAGTAAAGAGAATCCTACCAAAACACCACTAATTTGTCCTTTAGATAGTGCCAAAGGGAATCTAGAATACATACCTTTCCTTCATCACTGGGATATCAAGAGTATTTTAAAAGCAGTTTTGCTGGAAAGCCAAAGTCCAAGTATACTAAAAATATACGAATAAAAATTTACAAATTCTACATGGACAAGAGGTTAACAGCCCAAGGAAGGAAACTGGGTAAAGACACATGATAGATAACCCAAGTGTTTTAAAATGCATGGAAAACTTTCCTGATATGGTGGTTTCAAACTCAAAAGAACGTCAAATTTTGCCTTCCAGCTTATCCATTGTGCTGGTTTTCCCTGCATAGGCTGATGAATTGCTTATCTTGGTGAAGTCACTTACATCATGCCTCTCCCATCTTATACAACTAACACCAAGCATTAAAGTGCAAAACAAACAAATACCAAGACCAACAAAAGAAAACAAAACAAAACATAACACCCGCACTACTTTGGGGCAAATATCTGACCTGGATGACCAATCCTCTTCTTTGTTCAATGATAAGAGGGAGGAGAGGAAAAAAGCCAAAATGAGTTAAAAGGATACTAACAAAACTATCATGAATCCAGGTGATGGCTGCCAGATATTAGACTTGGGGAAAGAATGTAAACACAAAGGCATAGTACAAGAAAGTTTTGAAAGAATAATGGAACTACTCTCTATCCTGGTTGTGGTGGTTATACAAATATACAAATGTGTTAAAATTCACAGAACTGTACAGGAACTACTCTATATCCTGATTGTGGTTATTACACAAATACAAATGTGTTATATTTCACAGAACTGCACACACCAAAAATAGTAATTTTTACCCTATGATTAAAAAATTTTTAAAGATTTATATACAAATATTTATAGAAGCTTTATTTACATTTTTCAAAAAACTGGAAACAATCCAGGTGTCCTTCAAAGAACTGATGAATAAACTAGTAAATCCATATAATGAAATAGTACTTAGTGATAGTTAAAAGGAACAAAGAACTGATATACAAAAAATCAAATAAATTGAAGAGACATCATGCTGAGTGAAAGAAGCCAGTCTTAAAAGATTACACACTGTAATTTCATTCCTCTGACATTATAGAAAATGCCTTCTAGAGACACGACAGATCAGTGAATTAGGGGAAGGGGGAAGGGGACTGGACTACAAAGCAGCATCAAAAGGAAATTAACAATTTTACTATATGTAAATGTAATAAAAGAAACAAGTTAAAAAGAATATGAAAGAGAAAGAAGTTTCTAAAAGTGATTATTATAGGAAACAAAAACAAGCTGTGAACAGTCATCTTTGTGCCCCCCCCAAATCAAATGGACTCTGAATCAAGGGATTCAGTTAAGAAAACCACCAACAGATGTAAATGGGAGCTAGAGTGATAATATAAACAAACATGTCACACTGTAGAATTCAAAACCTCACAAATCACAGAATACAAAGAAAATTACATCAATACCATGGAAATTCAAATTTAAGAAATTCTCCAAATGCAGAAAATAATAAAGAACCAATGACACTGAAGGACAAAGATTCAACATATTTTCATATTAGAAAAACTAAAACAAAAATAAAATCCTGGAGTATAGACAAAGAATTAAAGAAAATTTTAACAGAGACTCATATTGGACACATTCTACATACAGGTCTACATTGCAAGAATAAAGAAAAATCTTTTATGAACACAAACAGAAACAGCTATTTCAAAAGAAAGAAAACTTAGGCTGGCCTCAGACATCTCCATTATAAAAAACTATAAATATACTTATGTATATAATAGAAATACAAAACTATAAAGCCAAGACTAAATAAAAAGACTGTGACCCCAAAATTCTATAGCCAAGTAAACTGTTGTTCACATACCATGGCTAAAGAAAGATTTCTATTTTTTTTTTGTGCTAAGGGCTTAATAAATATATTACCAAATTATTCTTCCTAAAAAAAAGTAAGTTAAATTAAGATTCAAAATAAATACGCGAAAAGTGGATTAGACATAAAAAGACTGGCAGTAAACAAGCAATTTAAATATCAAATTTTAAACTTTAAATCACTGTTGAATGTATGATTACAAAACAGTAATGTAATGGTCACAATTACTAAAACAATTATATAATTAAAAAATAAGATTAGGATTAAATTTTTACATTGGGTGGAGAAGAAATGTGGAAAGACATAAAAGGATGACCTCTTCTTAGCAGTGAGAAAGGAAAGTTAATAAGTATTTCCCTGCCTTGCATCTTTCTCCCTGAGTAATCTCATCCCACTTCCACTGAATCATCTGTTGAAGAATAAGAAGCACCCAATGTGTGACTCCCACATCTAGCTACTTAATCAAAGAGATCTGTCTATATTTCTCAAAGGCATTTTAAAATCAGCATACCCTAAAACAAAATCTTTATCTGTATCCCACCTTTCATATCCCAAATCATTTTTCTTGATCTACTATTTGTAATGGCAGTTACAAAAGGTTGAACAGGGCCTTAAATATTAAATAGTCATTTGTTTAATTCTAAAGCCAAGTTTCTAAGAATTCAGTTCAGAAATCACTAGCAGCAAATTCAACAAGGTTACACACTGTAACCTTTAGTCAAGGTGCTTGACTAAAAATGTACTCAATCTGATCCCTTATCAAATATATCAGATTATCCTGGAGTGGGCCTCAAGAATCTGCATTTTCAAGAAGCACCCTGGTTAATATTTTATGTGTCTTAAAATTTGGGAATTACTGCTCCAGGACCATCATATTTCAACATTATTCATCATTAATTGAAATAGTTCCCTTTCTACAAAGATCAAGAAGCCACAAGATGCTTATGTTCACACACACATAGAAATCTACTTAAGTTCCTGTTTTACTTTAATTTCTACATATAAGCTTTCCATAGCAACTGCCATAATTTACTGGAGAAGCTTCTATTAACTTTATACCTTATTCATTTGAAAACAACTTTAAATGTAACACCTATGGAAAAATCTACTAGTAGCCTCCTCAGTCCTTTCTCTCCTTTTCTCTTAAAAATAGCACCCTCTCCCGAAGCCCATACCAATCTTCTTTTGAAGTATGAAACAAATAACATCCTCCAGCCTGTCTGTTGTATGCTTTATGACCGAATCTGCCCAGTAAGATGCAGGCATTAACAGTGAGTAAGTAACTTCTTGGGAAGGGAACCTTCAAGTCTCACTGAGGTAAATTAAGTGTCAGAAATCAAATCCTACAGTCTACATCTAAAGCCCATGTCTGTCCAACTCTTGTACTGGCTGCCTTCCTAAGAGTCATTCTTTACTGCATTTTGTACAAGTTACTCTAACTACACAATTATAAAAATGCTTCAGGAGTTTTAGAGAAAAATATTTTATTTCTCATAAATACAAAATGAATAATAAACATTTATTCAAAAGCTGTTTCAAACTCCAGACACATTTTCCCATAAAATTAATGTTTGAGATTGGAGTTCTTTGCCAGTTCTTAAGCCTGCTTAATTACAAATGCAGAATTCACTGAGCTTTGATGAACAGGACTCAATGATCTTTATCACCTGAGGAGTATGAAGAATAGGCAGGAAGCAAATTCAGAGTAAGGGTTACCCTTGGGAAGGAAAGAGGAAATGTTTCAAATATGGCATCACAGGCTTTCAAGGATGTTTATAAAGTCGTTTCTTAAGCCACTTCAGAGTAAAGTTCTTAAACTCAGAATGTAATATTAAAAGGCATTAAAGAATACCCATCCATGCATAGCACCCCAATAAAGACCCTACACACAAAAATTACTGTACTCTTACCCTACGCATGGCTTCCTCCTCTTCTTGACGCTTTTCGTAATGTGCAAAGTCATCAAAGATTGAGGTGGTATGCTTGAAAGTAGCAATTATTTTAAGCACTTGCTTAGCTTTTTCTAGGGGTACCTCTTGAGTGTCCCTTGAATTGGTAACTGGTTTGTTGTCATTATTTTCTAAGCGAATATGCCGTAATTGGTTATTGGGAACATCTTTGACAAAGATCCACTTAACTTCAAATTTGCCTTTCCACTTATCCTGAGACCAGACACCAGCATATGCATTATAGTCCACAACAGACTTCATTTCAGCCACTCCACAAAAATGTCCACTGCCATTCACACTGAAGAGTAAATAGAGTGGGCCTTTCCCATTCAGGGAACGGTAAGCTGCATCCAAACGCTTATTACCATGCTCAGTACTACACCAGATAGAGTACTTAATGGAACGGTGAATGTCATCCTCAGAATAGCTTTTAATTATAAACACACGTCCATTCTTCAGGTTCCAGTCAAAGTCTTTGGGATTATAGTTGTTTATGGCCTTTAGCTTCTCCAGCACTGGATGCACTTCTACACTAGAAGGTGAAGCACTGACAGGAACAACACCTAAACCAAAATTTTCACCGCCCGCTCCATTGTTCTGGTTGAAGCCAGCTCCCCTATTCCGAGGAGCTACCCAGCGGTTCTGCAGCTGTTGCTGTTGGGGCTGCACTTGGTGAGGCTGGGCCTGTGGCTGAGGTCCTTGTTGCTGTTGTGGTTGTGGTGGCTGAGGCTGCTGTTGAGGCAGTTGGCTTTGCACCAATGGTGGTGGTTGAATTAATGGCTGAGGCTGCTGGATTATAGTTTGAGGAGGCAGAACTGGTTGGGTTGGTGGAGCCTTTACCACAGACCCCTTTTCGTCCCAAGTTCCAATATTCATGTTGTGTTTTATAGGAGGTGGTGGCACAGCTGAACCCCCAATTCCCACATTGCCCTTGGGTTTAAGTTTCGGTTGAGGTTTGGCAGGCTTTCTAGCAATGGCGGCCCAGGAGGTCGGTTTAGGTGCTGCACTGCTAACTGGGACACTATTGGTTGCAATGCTAGTCATACCACTGCTGCTCAAGGCTGTACCTACAGTTTTTGTCACTGCAGCTGTCAGGTCACCACCAATTTTCAGTCCCGTCATGCCTTGCTCAATACTGTTAATGCCGGGCACCTTACTCAAAGTATCATTGCCAAATCCAGCCTGTCCATCAGTAATAGCTCTCCCAAGAGAACTAGGTGGATAGCCGTAACTGCTACTATAAGCAGAACTTTGCGTTGATTGTCCCTGAGATCCACTTGTCCCCCATGTAGAGAAATCAGCATTACCAGGAAAAAAGTTAAATCCATGCTGACCAAGAAATGGAGGGGTATTTCCTAATGCCCCAGGTTGACTAAACACACCATCTGGTATATAATGATGTTCTCCATTACTCATTTGTCCATAGGTTGTCAGATATGGCATAGGTTGGTCTCCCGCCGTGGACCATGCTGCTTCCCCAAGAGAATATGGAAATCCAATGGATGGAGCATAGTAACTAGGCATGTATGGATCTGACATTGGTGGATAGCTGTTACTCTGGAAAACAAAAGATCATAATCAAGAGCGAAATTTCCTCCGAAGGGTAGGGGGATAAAAGACATGTGAAAGACTAAAACCAAATAGTTTTAAGTAAATGAAAAACAAATCTACCTGTTCCAAATAGCTAAATTAAAATTTCACATCTAATTTTATCAACCAAAGAAAAAAAAGGCCGATGACTATTTTTATTTTAAAGTATTATATATAAAATCACAGGATTTTTATTTCAGAGCAGGGGGTAGTAGTGAGTTGATTATTTTTGTTTAAAGGGCCTGGTCCTGTACCACAATTTTAAAATACTGTAATTTCAGTGTATCAAAGTTGATTTATACATTTTGCAGACAAGAAATGATCACTTACAGCCAGCTTTATTTTAAGTAATTGATGTACCCAAAAATTCATAAGCAAGAATTAAACAAATCTGGAAATCATGACATTAAGAGAGAAATTAGTCTATATTATGGAATCCATTTCAGCAATTAAGTTTTCTATCTTTATTAAGGAAAAAAACAGAAATACAGACTAATAAAAAAAGATTCAAGATTGTAACTACAGCATGATTCAAATCTGTTTTTGTTTTGCCTTGCTCATTTTGAAAAAGAAATGAAACCAAATCCTTACTATGGTTTCTTAATGATGAAAGAGTAAGTGCCTCTTCTTTGTACTAGCTTTTCCAAATTTTACATAATAAACTTATCACCTTCCTGATCAGAATTTTCATTTGAAAACAAACTCCTGTATTTTTTCCAGAATTACTGTAATTATATCACCATTTATTCTGAATATTAACTAATCATTCATTTAGTTATGTGCCAGAAACCAAGGCATCAAATTCCATTTAAAAAACTTAAACTGTTACTACACAACATGAAAAATAAAATATTATAAAAAGATCTTTGAAAAATGCATTTCTTATGTCAAAAACAGGCCTGACAGATTTTCACTCTTCGATGTAGGTATGATTTTTAAAGCCTCAGACAGAGGTTTAGAATTAGTAGCATTAATAAGCAGGGTGAAAAAAATAAGCTAATATCCAGTTAGCAAAACTAGTGTTCCCACTGCAAGGGTCAAATTTTGAAGGCAATTATTCACTAAATTTCTATCAATATTAATATTCTAAATTCTCCAGAGCAAAGTATGTAACTCACTTTTATTTTGCCATTACTCTCTTGGGACTATTCTAATACTGCTTTCTCACTCAAGAAAGTACATTAGTACAAATATGTGCCAAACATCAGTCATACTACTTGGAATTTACTTTAAATTATTTTTTAAAGGCCATCACTGAAAATTGAGAAGATGCTTTATTGTTATTATTAGTTTCTTCTAACACATGCTGTGATTGTTACAAGTACACTGACTATGAGAAAGCTAGTATTTTGTCTTTTAAAATGATTTTGATATAACTAAAATAAAAATAACAAGATAATCAAACAAAGGCTGCATTTAAGTTAGTAATTATGACACAGTATTATGGAGTATTTCCAGTAAAACTTGGACTTAAACAACTCTCACTTCACACTATTTAAAGAAAAATAAGACTTTAAATACACTTGACATTAAGTATATTTTACTGCATTCAAAACTGAAAATATGTTACTATTTATTAACTTAGCTGAACATATTCTTTAACTATAATGGATAATTACTAACTATATTTGAAAATATATTAGTATAAAGGAAATGAAGAGCATCTTTGAATCAACCACAGTAGTGCCATCATTACAGAGATAAACAGTATAAATATTGACTGTTATATATAAAGACAAATACAAGAGCTTGAGAAAAGTTCAAAATAACCAACAATGGTTTCCAACAATAAAAAAAATGTTTTAAAGAAATTGAGTAAACTTTACTAGCCATGAAGATGGCTCACACACAAGTATAATAATCCAAGCACTAAATTATTTACTAAAAATTAAATACCATAGTGTTTAAAGTCAATATAACTTTGAAAAGCTTAATGAAAATTAATAGACGTTCAGCCAATATAAGTGAATATATAATAGATTAAAAGATTTTAAAAATTCTCTTTTTTTAGTTAAAAATTACTGAAGTATTCATTATTCATTCATTTGAACCTAACACTTATTGAATGCCTACATTGTGAAAAACATTGGTAAGAGGAACTCATTCTACAAGAAAACCAATAGCTAAAGACACATTAACATAGGAAAGGAAATAAATTCTACATGAAGAAAGAGTAGGAGAGCTGGGATAAGTATGGAAATAATCAGTTTCAAAGTTTTAATTTAGAATGTTGGCAAGGAAATCTAGACTCGGTAAGTACTTATCAAGCTGTAGAAGAGGAAAAACAGACCAGGTAGAAAGTTTTATCATTTTTCATAATGAAGTGTTTGGAAAACTATACCCATAACTTATTTCATCACCACAAATGCTGAATTCTGCAAAATAGTTACACATCAAGTTTCTAATTAATCTATACCCATTGTGTTAATTCGGGGGTCAGCCAACAAAACAAAAGACCAAAAAACAAATACAGGGGCGGCAAAAGGAGGCTTAAAGTTAAAGTTGTTCATATGGAAAAAAAGACATGGGGTTATGATTATTACAACAGCCTTGTTAATTCTTTATTTTATGTATTCACGACTGTAAGCCTACTTTTGCCTACCACTATATTTTAAGCTTGCAAGCCAAACAGTCTCTTGGTTGCTGCCTTTTTTTTTATATTTTTTTTAACATTTTGAAAAGGCTGCTAACTCCAGGGTATTCTCAAAGTAAATGGCATGGACTGGATTTGGTCCCTGGGCCAAGCTTCTCAACTCTGTTTTAACTGGTTTGGTAACCTGTACCAATTCCTAAAAACAAAAAAGTTCCCAACCTCTACTGTGAGATTAATGGGGAACAAATTTCTGCCACTTCCATCTCCTCTGGGGCTGAAACAGGCCCAAACCCTTTTGGGCATGAAGGCTTTGATTAGTTAACTTTTCAATTATTTTTTAAAATCATGATCTTTACTGCTTCCTTGTAAATTAGCAATTTTGTCAGGAGTAAGTTTAAATTACTTTAAAATGCGCTGCACTAGTCACACCTGCCTATGGAACAGACAGCTCAGGCTGATAAGAGACGTGTTACTGCACATGCTGGACGGCCCAGATGGCCACAGTCCTACCACCTAGAGTCCTCCAGCATACTTGGATAAACGGCCTTTCTCTAGTTTATCAAATGCTAGTCATTTATTTCCCAGTTCTCTCAGGAGTTTTAGCTGAATGAGATGTTTTGTTTCCTTAGCTCTATAAAAGCAACTTAAGCAATCTCTTTTCAAAAGACAAGACTTCAGTTTGGACTCTAGTAAAAACAAAATGGTGGAAACTCTAAAGGTAACAAAAAAAGATATGATCAACACATTTTGAATTGGTAGAGCTTTGATTATAATTGGAAATACTTTTAAATGTTTTGCTAAATTTTTAATCTCTAGCTAAGTGGAATATCAATTAGAGAAATGCACCTTGGTAGTGGAGAAAACAGAATTTCCACCTACTGATAATGGAAAATAACTCAAAATTTACTTTCACCTTTTACTTAAAACCTGGTTATAATGAGACATACTCAATTTCGGTCTATGCAAAGTGATCACTTTAAATAGCTCATTTCATAATTTGGAAAGTGGTAATAGTGAAATCTTACTATGTTCTTTGAAGAGCTACAACCTTTAAACAAAGTAAAGTATTTATTTCCCTCACATTCAAAAAACTAATTGGAAGTGGAAATAATATATGCATATAAAAAGTGATACAATAATCAATGGATATAATAAACATACTGGTGAAAACAGAAGCACAAACCCTTTACCTACATTGTAAACTTAAAAAACACAACTGAAGAGGACATTAATAGAAGGCTAAAGTGAAACCATGAGGCAACTAAATTCTCATTCTAGCCCAGGCACTTACCACCATGAAAGTAACCAAGTTACAACACTGAATTGTTTTATCCTCTATTAAAAGAAAATAAAGATACACTGCCTGGGACCTACAAAGTGTTCAATTAACAAATTTTATGTATTAATACAGCTTAAACTGCCTCTTTAAAATGTATCTTAACCATAACACACATTTGTATAATTTCAAAGCTAGTCCAGACCTAAAAAGTATAAAGTCATCAATGATGTGATGTAGTAGGCAAGGGCTGGGCTCAATCCTGTACTCTCACTTTCTATGTACAGTGAACTCTTCAGATCACTGAATTTCTCTAACCCTGTTACCTCATCAGTAAATTGGGGATAATGCTTGATGCTCTAATTAACTGTAAAGACTTTAAAAAATTGCAAAGCACTACATGGAAATACAGTTATGCATTTACCTTAATTTTTTTATTTGGAAACTAAAATATGGAAAATTAAAAGTTCTTCCTTAAAATTTTGAAACCATTTATAATTGTCATCCCTTAGCTGGTAGGTCAATCGTTTTTCTATTATTTCAAAGAAAACCTGAATAATAATAAAATGTTTATGATCACGGTTCTGACCTCAGGGCATTTTAATACAAGTCAATTATAACTGAACCTTCCAGTTAAGGTAACTTAATAACCATTTTCCTTCATAAATATCCCAACTTCCATGAAATAACAATGTTTCAGAAGTTCAATAAAAAGGTTGAGGCATTATCCACCAATAGCACAGAAGAAAAACAAAACTACTTTCCCTTAAGAATTAGGTACTTCAGTCTCCAGAACTCACTTCTGAATTAACAAAAAAGTGAAGTTTAGTCTACTTTTAATGCTTATCTGTACATTCCTCTAATATCTTAAAATTATTGTACTTTTAAAAGACATGATTTATTCATACCTAATCATAAGAATGTCCTAAGAACAATGTATTATATATTATACTCAATTAATGTGGTGTTTCATCAACCGTAATTCGTAATTCCCTAATTCATAAAATAACCTAATCTATTTATTCAATAAGTACTTAATGAATGTCTCCTATGTGTTAAAGTGCCAATCATTGGAGACCATGAAACACATGGTCTCTGACCTAGAGGACTTCACAGGTCTAGTAAAGAAGACATATTTACCCTACAATTTGGTAAGTACTGTAATGGAAGTACAAACAAACTGCCATTTGTTTGTACTTCCAAACAAAGCAAAACAAACTACTCTAGCACAAAGAGAACAGTGCAAGTAACTGGGGAAGTCAGTAAAAACGTTAGAAGTAACAGACACCTGAATGTGTCTGTGTGTGTAAATTATATATACTGAGACCATGAAACATTTATATTTTCAGAAAATAATAATAAGCCCCTTTTCTTTGAGTAATTACACAGAGAAAGGTAACCAAAGTTGAGGCAGGAAGGGATGTGCTGTGATGCTGAGGTAGTCTTTACATTGTTACTAATGTAACAATGGTACAGCCAAACTGCGACTTTGAGAAGACTCCTGAATATGTAACTACCTATTAGGAAATCACTGGAACAGGCAGAGATAATGAAAACCTTAACTAAGGGCAGGGACAGAAAATTACAAAATTCAAAATATATTACTTTCTTTGTTGTTTACACCTCTTCCCTAATAAAAATGGCAAGGAATCTGTTTCCCCACATACACAAGCAGACAAATGCAAACTTCATTTTTCTAATTTATTCTTAAAATTTATATGGCACCTTTAATAGCATCAAATCTGAATTTTCTGATCAACTTAATTGCCTCATTATTCTCAGAAATTATAGAGAACTATTTTTTTTTGTATTGCTGACCTTTATTTTTACTTAAATGTAGTCATCTTTTGCCCTGGCTGGTGTGGCTCAGTGGATAAAGTGCTGGGCCTGCAAACCAAAGGGTTACGGGTTTGATCCCCAGTCAGGGCACATGCCTGGGTTGCAGGCCAGGTCACAGACAGAGGGTGCGGGAAAGGCAACTACACACTGATGTTTTTCTCCCTTTCTTTTTCCCTCTCTAAAAATAAATAAAATCTTTAAATATACACAGTGATCTTTTAAGAGAATAAACAAAAAACATTTACACAGCAAATATTTTTACATTAGTGTAAACATGTACATCTACTTAATAATTAAGCAAAGTAAATTTAATTTTAAGCACAAAGCTCTAAAAATCATTAAAGAATGACACATTAAACCCAAGATAGAATTAACAGAAGCAACAAAAACACACATTTTTGCCATGGCTGGTGTAGCTCAGTGGCTTGAGCACAGGCCTATGGACCAAACAACCTCGGTTTGATTCCCAGTCAGGGCACATGCCTGGGTTGCAGGCCAGTTCCCAGCAGGGGACACAGGAGAGGCAACCATACACTGATATTTCTCTCCCTCTCTCCCTCCTTCCCTTCCCCTCTAAAGATAAATAAATAAAATCTTACAAAAGAAAAGACCTACACAATTTACAAAGCTTCAATTGGTCTTGTCTTTCAAACTAACTGGTTAAGGCCTGAGTTTCAAAAATCCCACCTTCCTTGTCAAGCAGAAGCATCCAATTTGGCTGCACCTATTATATATCTATATGAGAGAGCTAATTTTCAGACCTGAAGGACAGATATTTACTTGTAAGTTACTATAAGAATTATTTACTAAGGAAGTGAACAGTAAAAAATATAAGAAATATGCTGCATCAGAAGGTCAATAACCTGGTGTGAAGTATCCCTGGGTTTGGTGTGAATAAGTAACAAAGCAATTTCAGTTAACCAAAAACCTTAAATACCTTTTCAGGCAAAGGATTCATTTTTCTTATTTATAACATTAAAATCAGATGATGGCATTTAATTATAAAGTCATATTACGTTTAATTGAAATTTTAAAAAATTAAACAATTACTTCAACTAGGTCAGTACAAGGACCTATAACTACTTGCAGAACTTTAAATCTGCAAATAATTACCTGATATATTTCACCAGTGAATCCAGTTTCACTAATCTGCTTAAAAAGGTCAATTTTGATAAATTGTTTTATTTCAGCTAAGTGATTATAAGTAACTTAGTCTTACAAAACTAAAAAATTTCAGATAATTTTCCATTATCTCCAAAAGATCCATTTTCAATATTTTTATAATTGTAGTGCTCTTTAAAAAGTAACTATGTACCCTGAGTACACCTAATTATCTTTAGTGTTACAGAAAGGTAACTGCTGAAAACCTATTGGTCAGTACTCAGAAGAAAAGAGAAGTAAAACACAGCCTTACTGGTATCAAAATTTAAAACCTCCCATTAGAGCATAAATATATTGATTCAAATATCATGAATCAAAATAGTGATTTGAGTACTATAAAGCACAAGACCTTCCATTTAAATAACACATTAAAGCAAGTCTTTTATAGATGTTTCTCACAACATAAGGAAGTTTTTATGATACAATTTAAAAATCAAGTTTATTAAGATAAATGCACTTCTGTTCTTAAAAAATAACTTTCCAACCCTTAAAAAAATTTCTTTGCAAGTGAAACTCTTCTGCAAAATTCCAATTAAAAAAAAAAACAGATAAGAAGCAGAGCACAGCTCTGGCTGCACAAGGGTGGGATCAAAGGCACCCTCCCCCAGTCTCCCCTAGGCAGACCTGAAACACCTCTGCGGAATGCCAAATAACCAATCTTCTATGCCCCTGTGACAAATGAATTATAAAATATCTGTTACCAAGTAAAACTAAGATTCTTACATAACAATTTTCAAATATCTACAATCCACTAAAATCCCCTGAAAACAGTTTGAACAATTAAGACAAAAATATCTGCATTCTATATTCTTGTCTTAGAAATTCATTTACGTTTTAATGAAGTATGAAATCAAGTAGCAAAAAAAACCATTTTAATTATTCAGACCAAAAAAACTTCTCAAACTAATTTGTTCATAAAGACCTTGTGAGGGGAATATCTACTACACCTTGTAATATCAGAATTTCTAAAAAAAAAAAAAATTAGAAAACACTGCCAAAAGGAATAACTGACCCAAATAGAATACTGTATTTCTTTTAAATCTTGCATATACATCACACAACAAATGATCTTTCCCTATTTTCCAATGACACATTCTTTCACAATCTCTAGTGGAAAGTAAATTTATTGAGATCATAAAGTAGATTATATAAATGTGAAATGAACTTTTCATTCTTAAGGTAGCCAAACTTTCTCAGATTTTATCATCCATTTTTCTTCTTTCTCATGTGTTTATTCCCTCTTGACATATTCAAGGAATGTAGATCAACAGATAGAAAGGGGAGTTCATAGAAATTACCAAGAGATTAATCAGTCTAAACATAACCATGGCTCTTCACCATCCTAAAAATAATTCTACATCCCACAAATAGAAACTACTTTTTCATCATACTTGATCTAAAACTGTGAAGTTGTGTGATAACATTTAGTTCCTTGTACTTTTATAGTTTAAAAAAAATAGAGGTTAAGATTTCAAGATATATTTTTTCATATTTTTTAAGCAAAGTAACAAAAGCAGCTTTATTCCAGTGTTCTCCTAAAGAAACTAGTTAATAATAAAACTATTTTTTAAATTTATTTCAAGTAGCAACATTTTTATTAAGCAGACACAAATGGTATGGAGACAAAACATTACTTTTTATGTCTAAATCTTAATACTCCTGTATACAAATTCACAAGATTTACAAAAAATCCAAATACACAAGAACCTCAAAAACCACCAATTTTACTGGATGAAATTCTCCATGGCTACAATATATAAGCAAGTGTTTATAAAGTCTATCCCCCTACCTATCCACTCCCTACATTTCTAGGTTATATATTAAAACTTTATCAGTGAAATTCAAATTGGAATGCCTTATAAAGAAAACACTACACTGAATGAAAAATTTCAGGCACAAAGTAGTCCTCTCCCACAAATTTCTAGCTAATAAAACCTTGTAATTTGCTGTGGGTATGAAGATATGAGAGTGACATGAAAAGATTAAATGTGTTAATATTCAAAAAAACTAACTACAATATAAGCAAATAATGTTCATCTTCAAATCTTTGTATTTCATAATTTAGTTTCAGCAGTTCATAATTTTTAAGAACTCTCCTGCGCCATAAACCTGCAACTGCTATGCACTATTATGCAGTTACACTAGATTTATTCATGTTATGGTTAGTCTCATTAGATCAAAATATCTATTTGAAAAATCAAGTAATACTAATATAAGCTAAATTTCCTAAACATGAAACTATCAAACTTACCTGATTTGTCTGGCTGCTTAAGTATGGCTCAAAATCATCATCATTTACAGCATCTTTTTGATGAATGGAACCGTTTTGTACTGAAACTAAAAAATATGTTTGTATTAGATATGGTGTAATTATCATTATGAGAATTACAGAACAATCTAACATTTTCAGCATTCTTCAAACCAAATCACAAAAAGATATCCCTGAGCTCTTTAGTCTTTTCACTTAAAAACTTTTTTAAAGATTAACTTAATTTTGGATATAAATATTTGTGTCACCCCAAACTTACAAATCTTGTATAGATAAGCCCAAGATTAGAGAAATACAAATTATACATATACTTCCCATTACCAAAAAACATATGGTAAATATCCCAATTTCAAAACTGTAGTAAGCAATGAAATAAAGATGTTCAAAGGATTCACTAATGTTATATTTGAATCTAAAATACTGCTTCAAATAGTGCTGCACACAGATTTCTGTGTGTTCTCTAACTTTGTTAAATCTATGACTTAGTCCAATAAAGGTAAAGAATAAAGTAACTTTTTTGTTAACTAAAGTTACAATAAGTATCTTAAATGTCTCCAGTTAAAGTGACTAAAATTAACTAGAAGCAACATCACAATGAATAAATATAATTATGAAAAAATCTAAATAAAAGGGGCCTTTAATCTAAACCAAAAAATTATGAAGACTTTCACATGAAAGTACAAGTAAAATTCAGACACTAAAGATAATCATTATTTTTGCAACACACAAGAAAACCAATAAGAACAATTTATAATGCCATATTTCTTCAGAGATAATTTCCATAAATGCTCTACACTTCCTAATTCTCTTGACACTGTCTCAGGGTGCTCTGAACAGACTTGAGGTAAGAAGGTCTTGGGTTTGAATCCCAAGTCCAACACTGAGAAGCTGGGTGAGCCACCTCTAGTTAGTGACTTAGCCTCTGTAACTCTACTTCTCTGTTCAAGGAGAGTGTCAGTAAGTATCTATCTACGTCAGGTGACATATATAAGTTTTCACTAATAACATTCAATAATCTTGAATATTACTACATAAAGTATTATAAGATCTAAGTAGGACTAAGAATTACTTTAGGACCCACAAGTTTTACTAGGCTAAAACTTGATGTGCTAGCACTATCTATGTAAATATACTGATAGGTAAGAAGATGAAACTTTCTGATGACTAATCTCAGAAACAACAACAACAAAAAACCCTCAATATCTGGAATTTATTACTTAAAAAGTGTCACGAAATATTATAAATTAAGGCTGGAGGCAATGGAATTAAGTTGTGTTCCTTTATAATGGCATACCATTTTTATTTCCCTAATGAACTTAGATCACCTACTATGTAATACTGAGTTGACAATGACATTGGAGCAAAAATAGGCAATATGCCTTAGTTCTTTGCATCCTACTAATAGCATGATCACTCAAAGAAACGATGATAGACTGTGAAGGCTTCAAAGTGAAACCTTAAAGACTACAAGAGAAATACAGTCCACTTGATCTGAATTGGTTTAACTCTGTATGATAAAGACAGCATCATAGCCAAGGTTGAGCTAGACGGACTCCCCAGTATTTAAATGTTAATAGCCACTAGAAATGAAAATAAAGAGGTGGGCACCTTAGGTTGTCTGGTGGGCTAATCATGTCACCCCAAGAGATTCTAGCATACCTGTTCTCCTCTACCACTGGGTTTACCACTCCCTTACGGAAGATAGTTACACATACTCTATTATTACCTCTTGAAAAAGAGTTCTTCACTACACTTTTGGATTATTACTTGAGTATATATTTGAAACAGCTACCCATTTCAAAATCACGACTATTTCTTGTATTTGTTAGATTCTCACAAATGTCATCTATATTCCTAGTATAGTGAAAAGTGCATACTTAAAATTTATTTAAATACACATTACACTGCTATTCTTATTTCCTGTTCTATCCTTTCCCTTCTTGTAAGGGTCACGGAGACTAAAAACAAAACGTTCACACAAACTTAATAGTCTACAGTCATTTATAAGTGATTCATTGTCTAAGAAATCCTAAAAAAAAACTATTCAAGGAGTATGTCAATTTAAGGAAATGTTTAATTAAAAGTATTTTATGCATACTGACAGGTAATTTGCATTCAATTAAAATTTGAATAAGCTGCTAGCTCTTGATTTTCAGAAGCATACATTTAAGAAATTCAACTGTCTTAAAAAAAAAAAAAAGACTTTAGTTTTTGAACACACTTAATGACAATCTAATGTCTTGGAAACTGAGAGCCATTAAACAGTAATGAAATCCAAGCCCATTCCATAGTCTGTACAAGTTCTTCAGGGAAAAAAGAACAGATGACTTACATGATTCTTCGCCTGTTTCCTCTGCTCTATGAAGCAGAGTCAAATCAAGATAGAACATGGGCCTTAGGAGCCAGATGATTCTTTGCTCTGGTCTGACTACATCAAGTTAGGAAAGTCAACAGATCTGTGCATCATGTTTTCCCACCTACAAAAACAGCGACAACACCATATACCCTCTATCTCCTTATAGGAATGTTTTGAGGATTAATAATAAAATAAAGCCTAAAATGACAGTTAGGTGCTTTGCAATCATTTCCAGAGGGGAGGTGGGAGAGGTTACAAAAGAATATTGCCAAAATACAAGGCATTTTCAACTACTTTTCTGAAACACTAAAAGAGAGCCAAATTTAACCTAATTCTTTGAAATTGCAGTTGTACCAATGTTGGGCGGGGAGAGAGGAGCAAAAAGATAAATTTCTTTCCATACATTTATCTATTTATAAACTTAAGGGATAGGAGGAAGCAAGCAACAAAGCCTAAGGCTACCTGGAGTATAAGATCTGACACTTTTCTCTGTGATGCCTGCAGGAAAAGGAACAATACACTGATTCCTGCAAGCAAAAACTCTCATTAACAAACGAAAGTGATATAAAGTCATTTTAAAATTATGGACCAATGGGTAAATAATTACCCTTATATTTCTGCTAACCACAGTACTACCTCGGCCAACAATAATACAAATAATTCTAACAGTTAACATAAAAACAACAGATGAATTTTAAAAAATGCAAACTTGTAAACAAGTACACCTACGACTATTTATATTACAAAGCATTTTTGCCCTCCCAAGATACTGCTGTAGAAGTCCCTTTAAATTTTAGTTCCTTTAGTGCACTTGTTATTAATGCAGAAAATCAAAGACACTAAAGCCAGGTATAAAGCCAATGCTGTCAACTAATGGTAATTCAGGAAAGAAACACAGCATCTCTGAAATTACATTAACTGAAAAGAATCCTGCTTTCAAAACTCTGACAACTGCTCAGCCATGTATTTTTCCTAAGTTTAATAAGTTCTGAATTCAACTTTAATATTCATGTTCTTAGAATACTGAGGTTGTAGTTGAAGAAAAATAACTTTTCTTTCTGCTTCATAAGTAAACAGAATAATTGTAAAACAATTTCACTAGCTTGAAAACCAAGTCGGCTAAGGCAGAGTAGTTTCTCTCAAACACAAACATAGCTAATGGTATCAGTTCACTGGAGGTATTCCCTTGTCCTTGCAATTCTCCCTGCAGAGGCATATAAATGTAAGTAATGTATATGTATATTTGTGCACTTGTAGTATCCATTATTTTAAAGCATCTTAAATAACTACCAATACTTTCAGTGCAGGAGAGTTTTTCCCAACCACCACACCTTAGGCAATAGTCTTCTGGCATCCTAAAAATAGATGAGGCAAGGAAGGTGATAAGAAACCAGAAAATCCAGTGATTCCTAGAGTAGTGGCCTATCGTAATCACAACAATCCTCATAACACAGAATAGGATTTACAACCAAAATTATTCCTTTTATTTAATAGAGGAGAAATTCTGATCAAAAGATGCACTGTGTTCAAGCTCACTTGGCAAGTCAGTGGCCACAACCACTATTAGAATACAGATCACTTAGGAATCCCAGTCCATCATTCTATCCATGAATGAGATTATGAACTGAACAATAAAGGAGAAAGGAAAATTGCTGTAATGAACCATCCAAATACATACTCTGTATGTGTATCTAAATACATCTAACAAACAAAAGTGATACTGATAAAATAATTTTAATGACCAATAAGTATTTATGGCCAATACGCAGTATTATTTATATATAATTTACAATATCAAAGACTATATCATGTATCAAGATTACATTAATGGCTTACTAAATAGATGCTTTTGCTTTGTCAGTTACTTCACAGAACTTGCATACTTACCTTAAAGCAGGTAACACAAAACACTTAGCATTTCAAATAGCCTTGCAAAGTGCCACCTCCCCACAGATCTAGGATAAAATAATTTATGCTAGGCAATAGTAAGCACAAATTTCACATATCTCAAAGTCTGTATACTTCCTAACAGACTAGCAAAAAAGTAATAGATCATTCTTTTTAAATTTACAAGTTAGTTTATAAATACTCGGTTAAAATCAACAATGCCAAATTCAGAGGTTTATGCTCACAACATACAAAATGATTCTAAAATCAAAAATAACTCTAAAAATTAAATTCTAGAATTTAAAATTTGTAAGTGTTTACATACTCCAAGAAAATACATCTTTAACCAAAACAATGTTACTTAAACAGTACCATACACCTGGTATACACAAGTTCTCAAATAAATTGTACAACTCAAAGAAAATGAACTAAGCTGTGTATACGGTGCCTATTCCTTTCAAATTTGCTATAGTATATAAAGCCTGAAGATAAAAAAACCTGAACATTTTGCTACCAAAATAAAAAACAGGAAGCATCATTCTATTTCATCTTATTTCAAGCCCTATTTACAAACTGTTATAAATACATAATTCGCTGTAATGTTATTTAATTGGCACTGTCCCAAGAAAGCAGTTATTATTCTATGCTCACTCAGGTCACATGATCAATGTCATGTTTCAGTCAGCTCCAGATTAGTAAATACAAAATACACTTATTTTTTAAATGCTTTACCTTTAGTAGAACTTCTCTCTCTCTTTTTAACTAAATAGTAAATCACATAATCCTGGCAGGAAATCAGTCCTTTCTAAAATACCAAATTGAGTCTCACCTTGCCATCATAACTACATAACAAGATGACACGCCTGGTCAGTCTTGATCTCTAATGTGACAAACTTCAGCAGCATCAATGATTAACAGTACAATTTGCACTAGTATAACATAGACTACTATGGGATTGCATGTTCCAGTGTAACCCAGACTCCTCAAAGTATCTACTTATCTACTACGTACAAGAAGATTTCTTGTGGCAGAAGTTACATAATACAGATAGGTTGCAAAATTAAAGAAATGTCACTGTATTCATAATAACAGTTCCTGAACTGAAATACAGCTAAGTAGAAAACTATTTCTTGCACCAGTGTTCTTTCTATAAAAGTGGCATCAAAGCAAGGAACTACCTAAGTTTTGGATAGCATTTGGTTGCCTAAGCCATGATGAATGTTTATCCAATCCTACATTTAAAAAGAATAAAAATAAAAAAGGAACAAAAACAAACAAAAAGGCCCTCACAGTTTAACAAATAACATCAGACCAACCTTGGTGAATGAGAGAAAGTTATCCAAACTCACCCTTATTTCCTTGCCCTTTAGGTCTCTGTGTAGCAAGACGAAAGGTGTCGTAATGAGAAGGGAAAAAAAAGAAAAGGGAAAGTGTGTTAATCAAAGGCGTTATCAAAGACAAGTTATTTTAAACAATCCGCGTAGGAGTAAAAGCCACCATATCCTCCATAGCCACCGACTTCCCAACCACCCCCAGTCTTTAAACCCCCTACCGCCACTCGGGTTCCGTCTACCGAGCTCGCCCCGGGGTCAGCCCCACGTCTGCCGCCCTCAGGATGCGTCCTAAGGCCCGAAGAGCAGTCCTTCCCCCACCCCCCGCGGCCACCCGCCTCCACCGCAGACTGGGCCAGGGCGGGAGCCCCGGCCCGGACGGCAGGACCGCAACTTGCGCCGGGGGCACCGTTATGGGGCCGGCAGCGGCGGCGACGGGGAGGAGCCGAAGCCCCACGCGAGGGTGGAGCTCCGGGGCTCGGGCCTTCGCCGAGCCTGAAGCCTCGGCTCCCTCACCTGATCCACGCTAGTGGCTGACATTCTTCACCGCAACCCGAGAGCTGCTGCCGCCGCCGCCGCTGCCTCCTGGGCCTCTCCCCGTGCACTCACAGCAGTTGGAAGCCGCCCTCGGCCGAGTTGACCGTTCCAGCCGCCGCCGCTGCCGCTGCTCGCTGAGAAGCCAGAGAGAGGGCCTCGCGCTCGGGAGCCAATGGAGGGGGCCCGTCTCTTCCGCCTGCACGCTCGTCTTCCCCTCTCCCTCTCCGCTTCTCGGGTCCACAATGGCGGACAGACTCCTTAGTCTCACTTCCGCTCAGAGCCTTCCTGACCTTCCGCTCTCCACTCTGACGTCCGCGCTCACCTCGCTCTTCCTCCCCCACCCTCCCGCCACCGGTAGGGGCTCCGCCCCCGCACGCCACGTCATCAGAGACCGGAGCCTCTTGGCCAACCCCCGGGCGCGAGCGCCGACGAGGGAACGTTTCGGTGCGGGTGCGAGCGTGGACGTTCAGGGTCGCTCGGGTTCTTTCCTCCCGTCCTGCACCGAGGCTGTAGAACTCTTTTGGGGCGGCGGCGGCGGCGGTGGGAATCGGGGCCACGGCGGGATTCGGGGCATTCTAGTAAGGAAGTGGGCCTGGGAGGGAGGCGCGGCTGCCGGGAATTGTAGTAGAACCGGACCGGCGGCGCCCCCCGGGCAGCGAAGTGGGCATTGGCCGGTTGGCAGGCCTTAGCCGCGCCCTCCGATGACGGGCGAGCTGCGGTGGCCGGGCCTCCACTGGAGCCTCCGGAGACTATAAAGCCACGTGTGTGGCTTAGCAATTCAGCCACCCTCGCCCTTGGGACCGACTTGCTGGGTCGTCCGCACCAGCGAGCACTGGCAGCGAAAGTTACTAGGTTGGAGCTCTGGGCAATGACATCTAAAAGCAAGTAGGAGGTGAGCAGGCAAATGTTTGTTCTCTCCACGCCCCAGCTACGTGACAGGAATGTTTCACAAAACACCTGTTACCTGTGGGACAGACTTTGCCACCCAATTTATGGGTTTGTGTCCCCCTCCAGAGATGTTGATTTTGATGAATGAATAGTTTGATAAAGATAAGTGTAGTTGCAAGACGTTTTTCAACCCTAAAAGGACATGCTTAAAGTAACTGGTCAAGTTACTTTTCTGCGAATTGGCAAAAGCAAAGCGCCAATAGGCAACAGTTTATTTCAAAGAAATTTGTTGAAATAACATTTGTCATAAGGGCAAAGATTCCTTGCCTAACGGGCATGATGGGGATTGTATATAAAGTAATCATTTAAATAACCAAATTCTTCCAAATTCATCAAATAGGTGATTATAAAGTATAAAGTTGCTAAATTGATGGATTAATTTTGTGGTGTACAATGCAACAAGATTTTAGAAGCAATGAATAATAGAACTGGAACTTAAGAGTCTGCTATTTCGTATCTATCACCAAGAGACATTCTTCAGATCTGGTCAGCTTCCCATACATTCCCATTTTGCTGCATGTCCCAGGGACTCACTAACTTTCAGTTCAGGCTGAGCTCTCATTCCATTTCCCAAGATTTCCCCACCCTTCCAGTTTCTTAATCTCTCCAGTCTACCCTCCTCCACTCCCATACAGACCTTTTTCGTTTGACAGAATTTGCTACTACATGTTATGAGTGGGGAAATTGAGAAAGGAAGCCTGTGAAACTTTTCAGGCCTTGTCTTTGATCCTTAATTAAGTTAAAAAGGAGGGCTTTGGAATCCAACCAATCTAAGTTTGAATTCTGGCTTGGCTGGAATTAGTTGTAAAACTTGGGGAAAGGCACTGAAATTTTCTAAGCCTGAGTTTGCTCATGAGTAAAATAAGGTCAGGTATGTATGCTTTCTGGCACAGAGTAAGTTTTCAGCCAGCAGAGGCCATGCAGGGCTAGTTTCTGGTTCCTTTGCCAAATAATTTACAGAAAGGTGGTAATAGCTTGCATTTGCTCAGTGTTCATTATATGTGAAGCACTGTAGTAATCATTTAAGTCCTCATAGCACCTTTGAGTATTAAGTGCTATTTTAAAAAATTGACATGCAGGGGAGTTAAGAACATGCCCAAAATAACATGGGTAGTTTCTGCGAGAGCAAGGATTTCAACACAGGCTGTCTGGCTCTAGAGCTTGTATTCCACACCACATCATTCTGCCTAGTGGCATGATACCCTGATAACTTTCTGTTTGCTTTCATTCCTGTCCCTCCTCAAACTCATTTATTGTCCTTCCTAGCATTGAGGTTTGAACTGGTACAATAGAGTGCTAACCACCATGAGATATAAGGCCATTTAATATTAAATACTTTTTCAAAGTATATCTGGGAACTACCTAAAATCATCTCCACTGCCTCCAGTAGTATGCAAGTGATATTTTGGAAAATGCTGATCTAGAGTCTAGACAAAGTTTCACTCTTTTACAGGGTCACTGATATACCAGCCTCCCCTGGTGAGCACAGCACTGTTCAAACCTTGGAAAGGAGAGGGCAAGCTGAATTTCAGCCCCTTTACCTTTCAGCCATCTTGGTTCCTTGATCCAATGAAGACCCTCCACAACTCTACATAATGACTCTGTACTTGTGCATGACTCCTTGTATCAGTTCAAATTAGGTTCAGCTGCAGGTCACATTGATTCCAAGGTCTGTTTTGCTCTCATGCAAAAGAAGTCTAGTCAGTCTAGGGCTTGGGCTGCTGTCAAAGTATGGGGTGGCTTCTAGCCTCTTTCTCTACAATCCTCACTTCCCCCAGTACAAGGTGACTTTCTTACTTCCAGCCATCATAGTCATATTTCCACCTTCAAAAAGAAAGGTGGAAAAAAGACACATCGCTTCCCTTTATGGACATTTTATAGAAACTGCATTTCCTGCTTCTGCCTACCACCTCCTAACTAGAAGACAGTCTCAAGAAAATACTTAGTTGAAGGAAACCTGGAAATATATCCTGGTTTATTCTAGGTTGTCACGTATTCAGCTAAAAATCAAAGTTTACCACTAATGAAGACTGGGACAGTGGGTAGTAAGAGATAAATATTAAAGTGATGTTTTCTCATGACTTAGATTGGGATTATGGATTTTGGAAAGGCACAGGTAAGGTACCTGTCTCACTGCATTGTGTTGGGGGCATTTGGTTAAGGTGGTGTATACCAGGTTTCTCCATGGCAAAGTTACTATTTTCCACTTTACATAAGCTGGTCTTAGGAGGGGAGTCATTAAATTGAGCCCACAATCAACAGAATTAAAACTACACTCCCTGGAGTAGCTACGTGTATTTTTTTGGAATTCATGTACAAAGAAGATTTGTCACTTCTCCCATATTTATATTATTCTCTGGGTTATATAATCCAATACCGTTGTTATTTATTGCTCAAATTGGTCCAGGCTTTGGCTAACTGGAGATCATTCTAACATGCTTCCGTTCTTTTTTTTCAGCACCCCACTTTGGAGCACAACATTTCATTCATTCTCATGTTTAGGGAAATTTACAAAGACAGGGAAAATACAGCAGAAAACATCAAGTACCTCTTAAGTTTTCCCTAAAACAATGTAGATCAAAATGTGGTCCTGGGAGGAGAGCATCAGGGCTGCCTGGGAGTTTGTTAGAAATATAAATTTGCTAGGGCCCCACCCAGAGTCACAAAATGGAAAATGGTGCTGTTTTGTCAAGACCAACAGGTGATTCTGATGCACACTAACATTTTAGAACCACATACTTAAGTTTCCTCAAAGATGCAGTTCAAAAATCTACCCAAAGAACCCATAAATTCTCTTACTGACCTGAATGAAAGTATTTTTGAAGAACTGGTTATTTGCATTAAAAGCAAAGCTGAGAAGACATAGACAGATATTTCACCAAGATACGCTGGTGGCAAATAAACACATGAAAAGATGTTCGACATCTTTAGTGATTAGAGAGATGGGAATTAAAGCCACAATGAGATACCCCTACACACCTATTAGAATAGCTAAAATAAAGTGACAGCACCAAGTGCCGATGAGGTTGAAGAGAAACTGCATCACTGACACATTGCCAGTGGGATTGTACACTAGCACACCCACAGTGGAAAACAGCTGGACAATTTTCAATCAACTTGAATATGCTTCTACCGATGGTAGTTACACTCTTAGGCACTTACCCCGAGGAAATGAAAACTTATGATTGGGTATATGATGGCCTGGCCATGATATCCACATCCTAATCTTCAGAACTTGTGAATGTGCTACCTGCCTGATGTGGCATAAGGGTCTTCGCAGCTGTGATTGAATTCAGCATATGCCAATTGTTAACTTAGAATTTAAAAAGCCCAAATGAGAGGCAATAAGGGTTTATTTGGGGTCAAAAAATTGCAATTTGGAAAGCACAAATTTACACAGAAACCTGAACAGTGACCTAACACTGGGTAAAGGTGTCAGCTTTTAAGAGAAAAGGAAAGAAGTAATCATACAAAAAGAAGAAAAATTCTTCCTGGTACCGCAAACTGAGTTACTCTTGAGCAATACAGGATTGGTTACTGACTCTTTTCAGATAGAGTCCACAGTCATCAGTCCTTGTGGTCAGAATGTCTTCTTTCCTGCTTACTCCACAAAATAAGTGTTAAGACAATTTTGGTTTGGCCCAGACCAAAGGTCTGGCGCAGTTCAAACAGTCCAAAGATTTAAGAAACAAAACACAAAAGGTCGTGTTTAATAGGAGGGCAGGCTCCAGAGCAGGACCACCTATGCGTGCATCCTGGCTTTAGCACTTACTAGCTGTGTGAGCTTGGGCTAGTGCTTCACCATCTCTGGGCTTCTGCGTTGTATCTGCCTCCTAGAGTTCTTGGAAACATTAAAAGGGGGATAATTATGTACAGTGCTTGGCACTCTCCTTGGCAAATCATAAATATTCAATAAAAATTAGCAAGTATTTCCCTCATTTTCATCATCAAGTGTTTTGATGTACCAAGATGTCTGACCAAAGCTCCAGACTTTTACCAGGAAAATCTGGGTTTGTGTCCTAAGTCTGCCTCTTCAGAAGGCATGTCTTGAACAAGTATCTGACACTCTTAATTCCAATCTCTGAATTTTTAAATACATAAAAAGATACTTGTTTTGAAGATTAAATGAAAAATTACATCAAAAGAATAGTTTATGAAACTATTAAGTGCTTTGCAAATATGC